TGTGTATGTGTGTATTATACTTTGCTTTTCATTATTGCCATTTATTTTATATTGTAATAATAAAATAGACCACTCTAAAATTCAAAATGCATATGCATATTTAAAATAAAATGAAATTTTTAAATAATACATCATGCTAATACATGGAAAAATTCTAATAATTTAATTAAATCGTAAATACTTTACTAAATGAAGATGTCTAGTCATAGATATATATGAATTATTAGAGTAAATTATTAAGTCCATTAAGCAATTTCATTCATTCATTCATTCAATTTTCTTGTGTTTAGTCCCTTTATTCATCAGAGGTCGCCACAGTGGAATGAACCACCAACTATCCAGCATATGTTTTACATAGAGGATGCCCTTCCAGCCGCAACCCAGTACTGGGAAACACATACACACTCATTCACACACACTCATAGCCAATTTAGTTCCTCAATTCCCCTATTGTGCATGGGTTTGGACTGTGGAGGAAACCGAAACACCCGGAGGAAACCCACACCATGGGGAGAACATGCAAACTCCACACAGAAATGACAACTGACCCAGCTGGGACTCGAACCAGCGACCTTCTTGCTGTGAGGCTATTGTGCTACCATAAATGTACTTATTAAATCTAAGTGATAGTATTTGTATCACTCCTGCTACCTCATTTCTTCCTGGCACATTTAGTGTTTATGATAGTTATGTGTATTATTGTTTTGTCGATATAAACTGCTGCACTCCAGTGAATCACTCTGAAACTGTGCTATTGTGAGTAAATCCCAGACTGATAGTCATGGTGAAGATCAGTGTCGGCTTCACCTCTCATTTCAATAAGAAAAACCTCCAAACTGACCACAGGAGAGAGAAATCAATGCAGGAGGAAACAGGAGAGCGATGATGACCACAGCTTTACACTCACAGATGCGTTTTCATAAAGAGAAAACAACGGCTCAATTATATATAAGCATAACGGCTCACCGGGGACTCTGAACTGGGACTGTACGAGCAAGATTAAACTGGGCTGGTGTGAAAGAGACGTTTCTGGGTCACACACACACACACACACACACACACACACACACACACACACACACACACACAAATGAACTCAAAAGCTGTGTTCAGATGGGCAGCTTCACCTGGACACTCGAAAAATATTTAGGTCTAACAAACAAGATTTATGTATTCTGATTGCAGGTGATATTTTTGCCCATTTGATGAATGAATGAATAAAAAAAAATGAATGAATAAAGGAATTATTGTAATAATGAATAAAAGAATGAATGGAAATAAAATGAATGAATGAATAAATGAATGAATGAATGAATGAATGAATGAATGAATGAATGAATATGGATGGATGGATGAATGAATGAAAAAGAATGAAGGAATAAATTAATGAATGAAGAAATTATTGATTGAAAGAACCAATAAACTGATAAACAAATGAATGAATAAATAAATGAATTAAAGAATGAAGGAATTATCAAATGAGTGAATGAATAAAAGAACAAATGAATGATTGACGGACTGACTGAATGAATGACTGATTAAATGAATGAGTGAGTGAATGAATTAATGAATGAATGAATGGGTGGATGATGGAGAACAAAATGAATGGATTAATAGACTGAATGAATGAATGAATGACTGGACTGACTAAATGAGTGGATAATGAAGGACAGAATAAATAAGTGAATAAATAAATGAAGGGAGGCATTATTGAATAAATGAATGAATGAACGAACGAATGAATAATTGAATGAATGAATGAATGATTAAATGAATGAATGATTAAATGAATGAAAGATCAAATGAATGAATGATTGACTGACTGAATGAATGATTAAATGAATAAATGAATGAAGGATGAAGGACAGAATGAATAAGTTACGGGACTGAATAAATGAATGAATGAATGAATGAATAAATGAATGACTGGACTGACTAACTAATTGAATGGATGATGAAGTACAGAATAAATGAATAAATAAATGAATGATGGACTGACTGAATTAATGACTGAATGAATGATTAAATGAACGAATGAATGAATGAATGAATGAATGAAGGTTGGAGTACAGAATGAATGAATTAAAGGACTGATTAAATTAATAGATGATGAAAGGCAGAATAAATGACTGAATTAATAAATAAATGAATAAAGAAATTATTGAATGAATGAATAAATAAAAAACAAATGAATGAATGATGGACTGAATGAATTAATGAATGAATGATGGAGGACTGAATGAATGAATAAATGAACAAATGAATGAATGAATGAATTAACTAATAAATGGAGTGAATGAATGAAGGACAGAATGAACAAATGAAAGAAGGTAGGAATGATTGAAGGAATTAATGGATAAAGGAACAAAAGAATGAATAATGGACTGACTGTATTAATGAATGAATGAATGAATGAACAAACTAATTTAGGATGGAGAACAAAATGAACGAAGGAAGGGATGATTGAACGACTAGAGAAAGGAAAGAATGAACGAGTAAATGAACAAATGAATGAAGGTCAGAATGAATGAATGAATGATTGAATCAGTGAATGAATAAATGAATGAATTGAATCAATTATTAAAGTAATGAATTAAAGGAACGACTGAATAGACGGAATAAATTAACATATGAATTAAGGTACTAATAATTGAATTAATAAATGAATGAATGAATGATGGGCGGACCGAATGAAAGAAAGACTGAATGAATGAATGAATGACAGTGAATGAATGAATAAATCAGTAAATGAATAAATGAATGGAGGGAATAAATGAATGTATGGACTGAAGGTATGAATGAATGTATTAATAATGGAATGACTGAGTGAATGAATGAATAAATTAACAGATTGAATGGACTAAATGAATAAATTGATAAAGAAATGCACAAATGCACGGACTGAACAAATGATTGAATGAATAAATAAAGGAAACAACTGATTGAATGACCGAATGAATAAACAATTGATTGATATCCATGAGAAAACTATTTAAATGATAAAGATAATACAGACGGACACTCAATTTCGTCTCTTCACCCCTCTCTCTCTCCATCAATTCATCTTTCTCTCTTCTTCTCTCTCTCCATCCCTCTCTCTCCTCATCCATCTCTCTCTCTCTCTTTCTGCAGTGTATATGCGCAGATCCACCTGTGCGGCTCCTCCAGAGGGACTGAGGGCTGGATGAGGCTCGCCCGTGTCTGCATCTGCATCTCCGCGGAGCTTCTTTTTCTTCTGCTCATCATGGAATAACCGAGTCTCCATTATGGCTTTTCTGCAGCTCTTTGTGGGATTATTGTGCGGGGCAGCAGGTAAACACAGACACAAACACCAATACTGAACATTACACAGGAATATGATGATCGGCATCGCGACAGTCTGTTGATAGATTTTACGTTTAGAAACGGCTAGCAAATATGCTAACTGTTAACTGTATTTTCTGACGCGACGGAATCCGCTAATGTGTGTTTCACTCGCGGTGATCTTGTTAAAGGTGTTTTAGTAGGCTACAGGGATCAGTTCACACACAAGAAAAGGAGCTGGAATATCGAGGAATTATACTGGAAAAGTCGATGAAAGTCGTGTAAAAAGTCGTTGGGTTTTTAATATAACGATATATACGTGTAAGGTCAAAGACGAAGCGGTTCTACAAGCATTATTTGTATTTACATTGGAATATCTTGTATATTTTTGGGGAATTTAATAACAACTGGCGCCCATTTATCCCGGGATTTCCAGAAATCTCACATATAACTTAATAGTTTGTTTGTTAGAAAATTTCATCAAACATATTTAGATCGATATTCAATTTCTGATATATTAAAAGACTCAATTTAATCGCATTTGACCAAAATACCAATTCATTTTCAGCTGAAATTGATTGTCTTTTCGCTACTGTCCTTCAAATCTCTAGATTTTCATTGTTTATATTTGTCAGCAAGAAGCTTTCACATACTTAGCACAATATTATTTAATATGTTCTAAAAAATTAATATAACAAACATTTAAAAATTATTTATGTAATTACAGTATATTTTATACATTTATTTAATTAAAAAATATGTATATTATTCAAATTATATTGATATTTCACTATGTACAGCACAGAATAAGTGTTTAATTTTCACATAGCCCAAATATATCTGATATATTTCTCATTATTTCACCATATTTTGACATTTTCTTTGCATTAAAGTAGCTTTTACTTCACTTTTAATGTATATAAAACACTTTTTAAAGGTAATTTGATGTGGACACTAACATTTTACAAGTCTTTGTGTCCACAATCCTTATTCTAAAGGTGAAGGTGTTGTAAATCACGGTTCTGTAGGTGTGTGTGTGAAGTGGTGTGCTCTTCTGTTTCTAACACTGTGTGTGTGTGTGTGTGTGTGTGTGTGTTGAAGTGTCTGCGTTCGGAGTGGATCCGGCTGTTCGGATCGGAGTGTTTCAGGAGTTCAGTCCTGGACAAGGGTTTTTGGGGGTCACACAGGTCAAAGGTTTCCGTGATGACACCAGAGCCTTCCTGTTTCAAGGTAAAACCAGCTGGAGATTTTTAATATTATGGGGTTTCGCTGAGTTTGGTGGAAACACACTTTTTGATGAAATTGCTCTGCTAAAAGTGTGTTTCTTAGTATTTTTGTCTGGTTTGCTGTACAAATATCTAAGCATTCTTGAATCAGCTTGACATGCACAGTAGGGTAAAATATTGAGTATTTTTGTCTGAGAAATTGAATAAATAATGTGGGATTATGCTTTAAACAAGGACAAATATCTTCAGTGCTGTCAGAAAATAACTTAAAATATGCTAAAATATATCTGGTGAATATTTGTCCTCGTTTTAAGCCAAGACTCATTTAATTTTCAGATTTATTTAATTACTGTCTTTAATAATTTTGCATCTCAAGTTTGTTTAGAAATGTTTCAATATTTGTACAGGAAAACAAGGCAAAATATTGAGTTTTAGGCTTGATATTTTTGTCAGTATCGCAATGATAGTTTGTGTCGCCTGCTTTGAATTTATGTATTCAATTTTATGGATTCTATTTTTGTAAATGCAAGTGCTAAAATTAATAAATGTCCATTTTAATAATATTTTTTTCTTTATTAATCATTGTTTTGGATAGTTATTAAAATACAACTCTTTACTGCATGCGGTTCCACTTAGTGCCACTAGTTGACACATTCCAACTGTACAGCATGTTTATGTGACAACAGTGTGCTAAAAATGTAAACTTTGTAAAATATGTAAAACTTATTTTTTTTTACCAAAAAAAAAAAATGCTGTCTAAATGATTTCAGTTCAAACAAGTCTAAAATAAACGACTAAAATCCCTGTTTTGTTTATAGCAGGTCAGTAGGTGGCGTTTCGATTTATGCAAAAACACTAACAGTAGATTAGGGTGCCAAAATGGTATTGCTTTCCAAAAACGTCAACTATGAGTTTGTTAAAAGTTTGTTTTTTGACCCACAGTGTTTTTTTTTACGAGGTGAGTAGGTAAAAAGTTTGTATTGGGGCCCCCAAAATATTTGTAAAAAACCTGTTTTCATTTATATCAGACCTGTGGTAAACTTTTTGAGCAAATACACCAAACAGTAAAGTTAAATAGTAAATTAAGACGCAAAAATGGTTTTAAAAATGTTTTTGGACACCTCAAAATATGATTTACCAGTCCAGTAGGTGGCGTTTTGACTTTTTGAGCAAATACACTAAACAGTAAATTAAGATGCCAAAATGGTAACGTTTTCTAAAAACATTAACTTTGAGTTTGTTTTTGGACCCTTAATTTTTTTTTTTACAAGGCCAGGCGGCGGCGTTTAGACTTTGTGTGAAAACACTCAACAGTAATTTAAGTTGTTAAAATGGTATTACTTTACAAAACGTCAACTATGAGTTTGTTAAAAGTGCGTTTGAGTTTGTTAAAAACACGACGCGGTGTTTTTTAACCAAATCAGTAGGTTAAAAGTTTGCATTGGCCCACTCTAAAATGACACTAAATTCCCTGTTTTATTAATAGTAGACCAGTGGGTGGCATTTCAGACTTGCGTGAATACACTCAGCAGTAAATTAAGATGCTAAAATTGTTTAAAAAAATAGTTTTTTTTTTATTAAATGTTTGTTTTCTGACCTTTAATTCATATTTTTTTATTAAACCAGTAGGTGGCATTTCAACATTGTAAAAACAACAAAAAGTAAATTAGGATGCTAAAACGGTATTGCTTTCCAAGACGTCAACTACGAAAAGTTTGTTAAAAGTTTGTATCAGGGCTGAAATCCGTTTTATTCATGTCAGACCAGTAGGTGGCGTTTCGACTTTGCGTGTAAACACTAAACAGTAAATTAAGATGCTAAAATGGTATTGTTTTTCAAAAAACGTAAACTTTAAGTTTGTTAAAAGTTTGTTTTCAGAAACCCCAAATTTTTATTTTTACCAGGTCAGTAGGTTTTGAATCTGCGTTTGGACTTTGCTAAAAAAAAAAAAACGAAACAGTAAGTTAAGATGGTAAAATGGTTTTTAAAAATAGTTTTTTTAAAGATTGTTTTTTGACACCTCAAAATTTGATTTACCAGTCCAGTAGGTGGCGTTTTAACATTGTAAAAATAATAAAAAGTAAATTAAGATGCTAAAACAGTATTGCTATCCAAAACACCAACTATGAAAAGTTTGTTAAAAGTTTGTATTAGGGCTGAAATCCCTGTTTTATTCATGTCAGACCAGTAGGTGGCGTTTCGACTTTGCGTGAAAACACTAAACAGTAAATTAAGATGCTAAAATGGTATTGTTTTTCAAAAAACTTAAACTTTGAGTTTGTTTTTTCAAACACCCCAAATTTATATCTTTACCAGGTCAGTAGGTTTTGAAAACACGAAACAGTAAATTAATATGCTTAAACTCTTTTGTTTTTGCTAATGTCTTTTGTTAAAGGTTTGTTTCGTCAGTAAACGAATGACCAGAAATGTCCTATATTCACGCTAAACTAAAGGAACTTCAGATTCGCTGCTGTATTTATCAGGTATACTGAGAGCGTTTGTGTGAAAACATGCGAGGCGGCGGCTCTAGACAGCTGCTGGAGCGTCTGTTCATGTGTTTGTGTGTATGAATGGACCCTCGCGGGCCCCTGACGATTGAGAGCCTCTCTGGAGACAAAGGGCCGCATAATGAGATCAGTCCTGTGTAAAGCTGATCTCCAGTGGATTGTGCTGTTGACAAATAATGACCTGTTTGCGCAGCGCCTTCTGATGCAACAAGTCGCAAGGTTGGATGAGAGTTTTGTGTGATTTGCGCTTGGGCTGCAGCTTCTGCTGGTGTGTAATTTTATTCTGCTGCTTTACATGCCTTTATTTATGCTTTTCTCTCGCTCACAGTGACCTTGCAGCTTGTTTAACCCTCATAATACATGTAAAATCTAGATTATTTCCACATTCTGGCTCGGTTTTTATACTAGAACTGTCTGCAAGTATGTTGGAAAGAATTTAACGATTTTAATGTTACTACAACTTTAAGACCAATAATAAAAAACTATTCTGATTATACATGAGCCACACCACTGTCCTCTGACGCAAAAAAATAATGTGATTTTATCATTTCATAAATTAATTATTCAAAATTAATGGAACTGAATTACATTGTTTAAATGTGCAAAAGCCTACTAAATTATTTGTAACAAAAATATTTGTCTGAAAATATAGGAAAAAATAAAATGTTAATTTTGGGGGTGGCATGGTGGCTCAGTGGTTAGCACTGTGGCCTCACTGCAAGACGGTCCTGGTTTGAGTCCTGGCTGGGTCAGTTGGTGTTTCTGTGTGGAGTTTGCATGTTCTCCCCGTGTTGGTGTGGGTTTCCTCCGGGTGCTCCGGTTTCCCCCACAGTCCAAACACATGCGGTATAGGGGAACTGATCAACTACACTGGCTGTAGTGTACGAGTGTGTGTATGTGAAGGAGTGTGTTTCCCAGTATTGGGTTGCAGCTGGAAGGGCATCCACTGTGTAAAACTTACGCTGGAATAGTTGGCCTAAGAGACTGAGCCGAAGGAAAATGTTAATTTCTTTTAAAGCATTTAAAACCTTTTGTATGGAAATTATACATCTGAATAATGATCATAGTTTGCAAATATATTTAGCTTTTCTCCTTTCAATATGTGTAAAGTTTATTAAAAGTATTTTTTTTAACAAATATTCAAAATTATTCTAAAATACATATAGTGTCAGAAATTACCCAGAAATGGAAATGTGTAAATTTTTGTCTGGCTTTAAAACAATCATAGGTAAAAATGATTGTGAAAAATCTGAAAAAAAATTAATCATGTGAATTTTGAGGATTGTAAAGCATTCGAAAAGTTTTATTTCTGTTGTAAAATTAAAACAAATTTATAATTAGTAATAATAATAACAATAATAATTAATAATTATTATATTAATTCAATAGTTAATTAATAATTAATAATAATAATAATTATTAAATTAATTCAGTAGTCAATTAATAATTAATAATTATTATTATTTAATTCAACAGTAAAATAATAATATTAATAATAATTAATAATAATTATTACTATATTAATTCAATAGTCAATTAATAATAATAATTAATAATAATTATATTAATTCAATAGTCTATTAATAAGAATAATAATTATTATATTAATCATTAATTTATTATTGAATTAATATAATAATTACAATAATTATACTTATTATTAATTTATTATTTTATTAAATTAATTACAATTAATTTAATTCTGTAGTACAATATTAAAAAGTATTATAACATTATTAAAGTGTTAAAAATATTATATTAAAAATATGATTTCTAAAAATATATATATTTCTTCCCAATTGCATTCTGCAGTATCAAGTATGAGTTTCAAAATTTATCCAAATATTCCTTCATTCATTCTCTTTCAGCTTAGTCCCTTTATTAATCAGGGGTCGCCACCGCGGAATAAAACTCCAGCATATGTTTAACACAGCGAATGCCCTTCCAGCTGCAACACAGTACTGGGAAACACCCATACTCATACTTAATATCTAAATCTACTCTCTTCAATAACCTTTCGACGAATTCCTCAGGATTAAAATCAAGTTGCATACATACGCTGTGGTTTTATTCACTCATAATGACCTTCAGCTCATCTAAAGCTTGACGAATTATTTAAATATTTAGTATTTTCTGTATAAATGTTCTGCAGAGAGTCAGTCAAGTGTGTAATTTCTGCACCAAACTAAACGGCAAAAATCCGGCTGAATGTAATTCTGTTTACAGTGAAACAGCACGTCTGATTTTTGAAGTCGAGACAAAATCAGAGCTGAGATTATTTACTTTCTGCATTAATCTTCAGAGTGCTTCATTAGGGAATATCATTATAAAACCATCCTCACAATGTTTAATTAAATCAGTGTATTATTATTTAATACCATCATGTTCTCACCCGCTCTTC